CCCAGCTACTCAGGAGGCGGAGGTTGCAGTGAGCCGAGATTGCACAACTGCACTCCGGCCTGGGCAGCAGAGCAAAACTTTGTCTCAAAGAAAAGAAAAGAAAAAAGTTTTCAATTGAATTTTAGAAGCTCGTGATGAGTGCATAAAATCTAGTTGTATTATCTCGATTTTCTTTGCATATAGCATTTCATGCTGCATGCACATCTGGACATTAGAGATTATAGCTTTGCAGAACCAGAACTGTTCTGTCTTGACCACCACCTGGATTGAAGCCCATAAAGAGAAGGACCGAGAGGCTGGTTTGGAATAGAAAGTTACTGGTTTCCTTTAGGGGAGCTGAGATGATGAGATCTGGAAGGAACCTAAAGCTCTCCACAAGCAATCCCAACATAAAGCCAGATAAAACGGTTTGATTTTTATAACCATTGAATAAACTTTTACTTTTTCAAAAGTAGTAATGTTGATACAGTTGAAATGGCATCCGGTGCATAAAGCACTTACATCCCACCAATATCCATTCCCCAATATCAAATCACAGCTCTGGGTGAGGGGATCCTTCAGAAATCTCAGCTGAAACATCTGCCCTGCAAGCTTGCTCTCCTGTTTAGGAGCATTTAATCTGGCTTTTTATGTATTTGCAGGAACATTTCAGATATACCCCTCCATAAGCTGTACACAACTCCAAGAAGTCCTACTATGCAGGATCAGTAAATATCTTTCTACCAGTAAATGAGTTTGAAGGGGTCAGTGGAAGACAGCTGGAATTCAATTGCTGTGGTCTCTCCATAGCCTGATTGTTAAGTGTGCTGTGACCCTAGTGAAGACTTTGTTAGAAAGAGGAGCAGAGGTGGTGACTCTAAGGAGGAACAGACAATAGATTCCTGAGCAGGAGGGAAGCCTGGCTGTGAGATGCTGACCTGCATCCCAGCTCTGCAAGTCGAGGATTTCATCTGTCTTTTGGGGTTGGATTATGTGTACCTTTCAGAAAGTTTGCTTTTAAGGGCTTACGGTGTTGTAACACAAAACAGTTCATTCCTACAAATGCCACCCCCTCTCCTTGAGCACATGGCAAGCACTAAAAATGATTACTGAATAAATGTATAGTTTAATGTCTTGGAATTTTTAAAATGCATACATTGGCCCCATTTTATTCTCATGATGTAAACATTGAGGCTTTTCTATTTGGGATAATGGATTCTTCTAAACCTATGTTCCTTCCTTATTCGATTACCCTTGCTAACTGGTTTAGGGTGACACCCTCTCAAACCCTTTTCAGAGAGTGTGGACTGGGTATTTGGAAGCAGGGCCACACAAGCTGTTCTCATGCCATTCCTCTTGCAGTTTACAGCTTCATCTGTTTTTCTTTTTTCAATCTAAGATGCTCATGCTTCTTTATTTGTGGTTGTGTCCAATTCCTTCTTTTTTTTTCTTTCTCTACCAGATTCTCAGAATTGTTCCAAGTTTGAGGGGAAAAAACTTGGTTAGTCCCATTTCTTCTGGTGCCTTCTGAGCCCTGCGCTTGAGTACAATGAGGTCACTTTGTTGCAGGATTAACTTTATATTACATTCTTGCAGAGTAGATGTATGTCCCTAAGGTATGACTACCCCCACTGATGAAATAAATATACCATTCTTTATGATTCCTCACTGTTACCCTCTCTGTTGATTTTCAGAGAGTTTATGAATAGTCACATATTTATACAACTGGCCAAAAGTATACTACTTATTTTTCTTATGGTCTGTAATAACCTACGCAAGGTTATTAAAGGGTATACAGACCCCTTTTAAAGCATAGTTTCTTATGTCATTACTTTATACAAGCAGGTCAAATTCCATCTCAGCAACAATCTCTTGCTCTTAGCCTTTTTCTCTGATTATAAAAGTAATATATGTTCATTGTGGAAAATTTAGAAAATGCACAGCAAAAAGAGCAGGAAGAAAAGCACTTTAAGACCCACTACTTAGAAACAACTACTATTTGGCAGTTTATACACAGACACATTTTCTTTTTCTATATATGTCTGTTTAAAAAAGTAACCATATTGTACACATGCTCCTGTAATCTTTTAAACTAAGCAATATATCAGTAAATGCTTTTTTACCTATGACATTGCTTTTGAGGATTGCATCAAATTCTATTCTATGGGTGTGCCTTACATTAACCATCCTCCACTTCCCAGATAATTTCCGTGAGGGCAGTCAAAATAATCTTTGTCAGACGGCTCCCCCACCACTCAGTAACTGGTTTAATTTTTTTCTCTAGTCAATGCAATCAGATAAATCATCAGGTTCCTTTGAATTTAGGACAGTCAGCTTTGTCTAGCATCTTTAATGTTAGCTTTGTCTCCAGAACTGGACAATTCCATTGTAATATTCAATACCTGTATGGAGGGTAGGTTAACTTGTTCAGAACTATGAGCAGAGAGCAAATCATAAAGACATGGGAAATAAGCCTTTGCCTTACTATTTAAATATTTCCTTTCACATAGTACACTTCCTTGGAGTAAATCCTTATTTTTCTTTGAATAATGAGTTTAATATGTCTAATTCAATTACTCTGTGACAACAGAATGACTTCTCCTCACTCTTTAGCTATTAGTTCCATATGATATTTGAATTGGTTCTTTTAATTGCTGATATTGTCAGTCATTCTTCTGTGAGTTGGCCATGTAGCTGGAGAAACATATCCTTCCCCGCCGTACATCGGACAGTCATTCAGTTAACAACTATGGGTTTCTAGACACAATAGGAATCCATTATGCTAATGATTGAAGAGGTGGGACAACCATTCAAATTTTATTGCTATCTTAGACTGAAAAATAAACCTAAGAATTAGAATTTTCAGGATGTTGAATTATGTTTTCCGATATTAAAAGGATGCATTTAATTGTCTAAAGCTACTATTTATGGTTAAACATTTTTGTTGGCAATTAGCATTATGGGTGGGGGGTGGATATGATAAATAACTGAAACCTTGGTGCTCACTCCTGTCTCTCTCATGCATTTCTTGATTAAATACCGTGGATTTTACGAGTAACAGCTTCTCCGCATAAAGAATTCTATGGTATTTTCTCTACAAGTCTAATTTGAAAAAAGAATTCTTCTCAAGGGTTTAGAAAGTAATTCATAAAATGGAAGGAATAATAAATATTGTGCCTTAACTCATATACTAGTATAGATAGAAAGATTTGGTACACCTGGGTGTAATTTTAGTTAATTTCCACAAGAGACAGGTTGAAGGTTTACTGTTTGGAAATGGGGGGAGGGTTGACTAAATCTCATGTTTGCAAAAATGATTACATTATCTTAAATGAAAATGCCACTCTATTAATGACTTCAATAAGCATTCCATTTGGGGAAAAAATCTTTTTAATAAAAAGTTACCTAAAGTTCACTCTAACTTAAAATATACAAGTGAAGAAAAAGTACTTACTCTGATTTATGTGTCTTTTGGAGGTGTAATTATTGGCTTTTTACTCACCTATGTAAAACAATGTACTTTTGTAAATGGATTTCTGGCCACTTTATGCAGCCTTTTTTTTTTTTTTTTTTTTTCCCTTACATAAAAAGTAAGCACTGTCAATCAAGGAATTTTAAGGTTTATTTCCTCTTTAGAAATGATTGATAGCCTTTTAGATTTACAAGTTGACAAGTTAAAGGGTTCCATTGGTATAATTATGTACGAAATTCACAGTCTTTCAATTTAAATGTCCTTTTAAAACCACAAGATTATCATACCTGTATTTTGAAAAGTGGGCCAGTCAGTTTGGGTTGGTATACAAATTGCTTCCATTAGCCTTGGGACCTATTTGAATTTAATACAGTTTTTTAAAGTTAGTACTAGTATGAATCTTACTTTTAAAATTTAGGTTAATGGAAATGCATTTTAAGTAAAGCATGTGGCAACTTGTTTTCTAATGTATAGCTAAATGTCAGAACTACAAAGATTGTCTTTTTTATTCAGCATGTGAGAAATATGTGGTTGAACACTTTGATTACACTAAAAAAGAAAAGAAATTTTAAAAACACCCACCTACCCCTTACTTAGAGAATGCAGGGATGTGGAGGCGATGGGTAGGAGCTGCCATCTTTTCCATTTCTACTGTTTCACGTGATACAGCCTGAGGATATTTCACATACCAGGGAGAAATTTTGAAAACGATAGACCAGAGTCCACTTAATATGTATTTAATTTAAGGATGCTTTGAAGAGTGTGTGGTCAATGTGTGCACAGCAAGCTCCATTGTCTCCAAATGTTATGCAAGGTTTGCTCTTCTTTTGGCCTTTTCAAGGATTGTTCTTGGAGACTCAGCTGCCCTAAGCTAGTACTGCACAGATGCTGGTCCCAACTAGCATCAATGTTGGTGAAAGGGTCTATCATTTCAGATGTAAGGGTTTTGAATCAGGGCATTTTCAATATCCACCGCTTTGCAGACTCTCTCAGGGGTGGTACTGGCTTTCCATACCTCGAAGACTCATTTCTACTCTCTCCTCTGCTCTCACCAGCCTCCTGCGTGTTTAAATGTGCTGAGATATTATATCAGCTGAGCTCCACTAGGGATTTTGCAGTTAAGTAGATCCTGTTAATTCTGCTGTTTACAATGTATAGATATCGTCATTGTAAACAGCAGAATTTTAAAAAGCCCAAGTGTTTTTACCTGAGCAACAAAATTAAAGTGAATCCTAAAAACGTCACGTCAAATACCATTTTACTTTCTATTTATGATCACATAAGGAGTGTAGAATTTGGCCAAAGCAGCACTGCTCAAGACCTACTCCTAATGTTCTTTTGGGCAAGTCACTCCACATCTTGGTATAAAGCAGAAGCAGATGGTGGAAAAGTTCAGCAAAGAGATCATTCACACGATCATCTTGTGATCCAATTCGAAAGCATCAATTAAACTTTGAACTTCCTGGTTATTTCCACACCATTACTGTTGCAAACCATGTTCTGCTTTATTTCTTGAAAATGTGCTAATTGTGTGACTTCTTTATTGCAGCGCTCAACGAACCCACCATCGATTATGGTTTCCAGAGGTTACAGAAGGTCATTCCTCGGCACCCTGGTGACCCTGAGCGTTTGCCAAAGGTAAGAATGCTGACTTTTTGGGTTACAGTCTCTGAAAACTGGGACTTGAGTGATTTGCAGAAAAGTGCTGCTACTGATAAAAATTAGTTCATAGATGATATATTTTTGTGCGTTTGGTACTATAAGTAATAATAAAAGTAGGAAGCACGTAAGTGCCAGGCAACATCATGCTTACTTTGACATCTGTTATGCCATTTTATCCGCTCAACAACAATCTGATGTTGGTACTATTACTGTTCCTATTTTAGAAGAGAAAACAATGAAGCAAAGAGAGATTAAATAATTTGCCCAAGGTCACAGAGCATGTAAATTGCTAAACTGAGATTCGAACCTATGCAGCGCGGCCCTAGAGTCTGGGGCACTTAATCGCTATATCTTAACAGTTCTCAAAAGAAAAAGGATCACCAAATTTTCTTCTACAAGGATCTGTACTTAGTCCTGGCAAGAGGAGAATAGTTAGAGCTCCAAATGTATTGGTAGATCTTGAGACTGGACAAAGAAAACAACCTCTCTCTCCTTAGGCATTCTACCTAGTTAGGAAAACAGGAACAGATATGACAGACATTAAACATTCAAGACAGAGGTCATATATGTCATACACGAATATGTCATTAATTACCAGTGCAGAAAGAAGGAAATTGACCTCTATTGACGATGGTGTACCTGTTGTGAATGTCTGGGATATTCCTATCCCTGTTCCTGAGGAACTTGGGCTCTATGTGGTAGAGCATTCCAAACAACTAATCATAACCAAAAATAATAGCGTAGTACATTAAAGAAAAGCGTAACCAACATTCTGTGAGGACTCGGAGGAGACGGCAGGTAAATGTGAAAGGAGTTCCAAGTACAGAATTAGTTGAGCTTCCATTCACTGTTTACTGACAGCAAAAAACTTCATTTACCACACAAGTGAAAACTATTAATATTAGATTGAATGAGTAGTCTCAAGGGCTCTTCCTTGCCACAGTAAGTCTAGAGATACACCATTTCTAGGTGTATATATCCTTGTAAAACACTTGTGAAAAGGAAGTTGCCATCCTTCTTAGCTCGGTGAACCTCCTTGGGGGATCACTTTGTCATCAAATCCTACCTGTGTGCTGGCTGCCCTTGTGGGCAGGAGCCACCTGTCAGAACTGGCCCTGTCCAGGAGAATTCTACCTCTCACGTCACTACACAGACACAAGGTGCGTGGGGAGGAGGGGCACTCACTGCTCCAAGAGAGGAAGTGCTGTGATGAGCAAAGGCATCTTGACTTTGGGGGAAAAACACCTTCAGTTTCACCCTTCACTTTCCCAGAAACCACCTTACTTTCCACTGAAGTGCTGTCCTTTCTTTTCCTTTTCCACCCCAATTTATTCTTGGTAAGCAATTAAATAATCTATAGGTTAATATTATTTAGTATGTTAAATAATCTAACTATAATAATAAACAGCAGTCTCCACCCACGGCGTAGATGGTCTGTGGAGAGATTTACCATTAGGTTTGTCTATCTAGCAAGAACATGGCCCCATGCATTTCCTATGAGACAACTGGTAATTTTATAGCACACGGATATAAATGATGTGGGCCTGACTAATGGTTGGTACCTTAGCTGTCTGAGCACTAGAACAAAGCCGTGGATACAATGCCAGATTCTTCCCATTGTTCCCATTTGGGCACTGTATTCACTTTATATTTAGCACTTGCTTTAGCATTTGCTCTCTAGAGTCCACTGGAGATACTGAGGAGAGTCAGGCTGGGCAAGGTGGGACTCAGACACTGGCCACTTGCTAGCTGTGCAACCTAGGTCAAAATTGTTTACCTCTCTGTGCCGCAGTGACCTCATCTGTTAAATGGGATGGTGATATGTTGTACCTTTTTAATGACTTATATGGCAGTCAACAAAAGGTACTATGATTTGCCAATTGAGTGAGATTGGGACCCTTGCTTCTGAGAGCTCTTCCACCCAATCTCTGCAGAGCAGGAACTCCTAATCCTGGTGAGCAGTTGAGCATGCGATTTCTCCTCTGTGCCTCACTTTCTTCATCGATAAAATGGGGATAATTAATCATGCTAACTCATAGAGGATCATGTAAGGATAAAGAGAGATCATCTCATGGGTGCCCTTGGTATAACATCTGGCCCATAGTTGCCACTTTAAAAATACTTATGGAAAGGTAACTCATGCCAGTAATCCCAGTAATTTGGGAAGCAAAGGTGGGAGAATTGCTTGAGGCCAGGAATTCAGTACTAGCCTGGGCACCATCACAAGCCCCTATCTCTACAAAATAAAAAAATTAGACAGGCATGGTGGCATGTGCATGTAGTCTCAGCTACTTGGGAGGCTGAGGTGAGAGGACCAGTTAAGCCTAGGAGGTCGAGGCTGCAGTGAGACACACACACCACCACTGTGCTCCAGCCTGGGTGACAGAGCAAGACCGTGTCTCAAAAAAATAATAAACAAATAAAATATTTATTAAAAATTAGAAGACAAATGTGGCTTAATGATTGAGGTCTACAGAAACCAGACAGTCATTTTCTTATTTGAAAGGGAAGGAGAGAAATAGGAATCTAGGGTTGAGTTTTGTGTACTTACTTTGGAAAACACTTTAATGGTTGCATGTTATGTCCAGAAATGTTGAACAAACAGCATAGGCACGTGTCACTTTGTCTCTAGTGGCCTGTTGGCGAAATTCCAGCCCTTTTTTCCTGGGTTTGGGAAGAGAAATCAAGGACACAATGGATTTGTGTGTTAAGGAAACACTCCACGGCTTGCATCTAGCCACTTGACGGTGCAAGGCCTGGCCGGAGCCCACCCCAGGAAGCTCTCAGCGTGACTCAGAGCCGAGTGGCTGTCCTCTTGGCTTTGAATGTTAAAGCGGAGCGAGAGTTCAAGGGCAGGGTCAGGAAGTGGCGGATGGAGCCAGCACAAGGTATTCCTGTGGACTTGGGAGATTTATACTCCTGCTGTCCATTGTTAGGGGGATAAAAATGGGGTGTGCCTTTCTTAGGATCATGGTCAGTGTTTGTCAAACAGGAGTGTTTCTGTGAGCTGTGGACCACACACCTTAAAAAACAAACTCCTCTTTATTAAACCCATGTGTTTGTGAATAGACAAAGCTAGATTCATACAACCACCCACATATTCTGTCAAATGAAACTGCTCCAAAGACCAAGCAGACAGCTTTCCATAATAATATGCCTTTGTATACAGGCTTGTGCTTTTTCAAAAAAACTTGGACTTGCTTTGTTTTATTGGAGTCCCTCCTGCGAGAGAAGCTGGGGCTGCAGACATCTTTCCCATTTACCAAATAGGAAAACGGGAGCAAGCGGAATCCTGCTCTGTAAATTATTTTGCCCCTGAAAGTCACCATCAGTGATAGTTGCTGTACACACAAATTTAAAATACTGTAATTATGCTAACCCCAGATGTTTTTTGGTTTCCTTTTTCATATACACAGGGAGAAAAGGGCAGGCTAAGGTTTTTAAATCACAGCATTCTGTTCTGTTTCATACAGTTTCGCCTTTCTTTCTGGATCCTGGCAGGAAGGGGAGGAACATGTGATCAACTTTGGGGTCAAGGTTGACTTTTCTTACAATTTAGAGGTGGAGGGGCTGGGGAATGTGGTCGATCAGAAATTCTGAGATGCTGATGGCTGCAGTGATGCAATCCAGACACATTGAGCAAGGAGCGCTCTCTGTGCTCAAGGTCAGAGGTGTCCCCGCCCCTTGCAGTTTGTCAGTTGCCTTCGTGAGTGGTCAGTGAGCCTGAGCCCTAAGGCAGTAAGAGCACACCTTGCGCTCAGCTGGCATCAGGCATGTCAGCTGTGCATCCTAGGAAGCAAGGAATGTTTACTGCATGCCTACTGTGAGCCCAGCACTGCATTATCAAGGGGTGTTCAAAGAGTACAGAGGCCAGGAAAGTGGGCTGTCAAGTGAGAAAGACGTGTGTTTTGGAAATGAGAGCGCTACTTAGTGCACGTGACTCAACCTCCTGCGCTTCAGGTTTCTCCTCTGTAGAGCAGCTGCCTCACGTTGTTGTCAGGTGTTGATAATGAGATAATTTATGCCAAGAGGCATCCCTGGCACTAGCGAGACTCTAGTAAATGGGGGCCACTAATCCCTGCACCGTGGGTGTTCCCTATTTTACAGATGAGGAGTTAGAGTCCCCAGAGGTCTGAGTGACTTGCTTCGACATCACATCACAGCTAGTAAGTGCGAAAACTACGATTAAAACTCAGGTCCTTAGGCTCGGTAGCTTCACTGTGTTCACTATGGTGCGTCCCCACCTCTCCTGCAGACACGAAGACCCAAAGAATCCTGCCTTTCGGTGACTCATGTCTCTATCCTCTCCTCTGCAGTCACCTGGCCCCTGTCCTTACATAGAGTCTCCCCAGCTTTCTCTCATTTCCCTATGGAGAAGGCTTGGCATGGGGACCTTCTCAGGGCAAATGCGTCTTTTCTCCAAGAGCCAGCCCCTCTTTTAGGGAAAAGAAAGCAGTTTGAGAAAAGTAACAAAGGCTGCATTTGTGTATTTTGCTTTATGGGGCTGAAAATATCTGGGAAAATTGATCCAGTGGGAGTAATAAATACACATTACTCTATCTTGTTCTTCATGTCCTATACCCCTGAGCCTTGGTAGAACAACACCACTTAATAGACTTAAAAAAGAGTAATTATACTCATTGGTTGCGTGATTTTTCAGCCCTCCCAGCCCTGACTGACCTTCTAATTTAGCTCACCGTGTCTAACTAATGCATTTATATTCATCTTTTATGAAGCATGTATCGTACAAAATTGACTTTAGAGCCTTTTTCAAGCTGTCCTCCCAGGCCTCCAATCTGGTTAGTAGTAAGGAGAATGGGAGCTATCCATCTCTATATGTTCACGTGTATAGATAACACATAGACATGGCTCAAAGCATTTTTTATCCTTTATGAAACATAATAAAAAGTATTTATTACATTTTTACTTTAAAGCTTTTATACATTCTAGCATTATTTACAGCTAAACATGCAGGC